GGAGTCGGCAATTGACGATTTGCGGACGAGGATGATCGCAATGATCATCACCGTGTTACGTCGATCGTCTGCACTTGACCAGGAAGCTGACTATAGCAGCTAATGACCTTAATAACGACTGTACAAATGTACATGATAAAACATAACGACGCACTTTACTCGTTTCATCGTAAGATGACGCAGAAATCACATTTGAAAAAATTCTCGCGAAATTTGTCACGCACTATCTCGTTATGGATATTATCATACGTGAAGTGTTACCACGTTCTTTCGTGTTAACACCAAAGAAATGAGATTAATTGTTTTTTTTTTTTTTTTTTTTGTCTTTTGTATTTCGAACAGAACGACGAGATTATATGCTGAATTCGCTGGAAATTGATCTTTGTCTAATACCTTCTTTGTCGATCGATCAGTTTGAACCAATACACAGTTGGGAACAACGTTGGGAACAAACTTTTTCAATCCATTTACATTGCCACTATCGCTATGTCAGTCACCACTGAAGGCTGACATTCTCTTCGTATGCATATGTAGCAGAGCAGATTTAAGGGAGAGAACAAACGCGTGGTATCGCCTCGGACAACGACAACACGGTCCGGCAACATTTTAATCGGTTTCCAAGGCTAGCCCCGTGTGTAAACGAGTTCTAACGAGTGCCGTGCGGTAAATATATATGCCGACGACTCCGCTCCGTCTGCTGAAGGAGATCTCCGTCGTACGTTATTGCGTAGACCAGTGCATGCAACATTGCATGATTAATTGTCAGTCAATTAAGGCGCGTTGCAACGTTGCGTCGTTGCGTCGTAGACCTTTAATCGGAGTCTAATCCTCACCGAGTGTTCGTCGAAAGTTAAAGAACATTATTGAAAATTAAGATGTTCAGGTTCGGTTTAAAGGATTTAAGGGATTTAACGGAAATAGACGATAAATCGAGTTAAGAAATATTAGGCACAAATTTTTCGTACCATCTGGATATAAGTGTGATATGTTAATAAGTTGATACATTGTTTCACATATATGATGGTTACATATTTGAGAAAAGATTGCTTAGAATTTTCACATTCGAGAAATTAGCGAATTGCTTGTGTCATTTGCATTCTGTTGGAGACAAAACACATTTCTTCTTTCACATTCATCGCATCAGGCCTATCTGTCAAAGGAATATCTTCGCGAGAACTCTCATGTCTTCGCTCCCTTCGGAATCGAGTCGGCGAATTTCCATCGACAAATCAACATTCCAACATTCTCGATTGTACACGATCGTACTCGATCGGCAAGTAATTGGTTGTACATTCGCTGGAGCATCGGTTCGATTTAGAAAAGTACATGAGAATAGAACAAAGTGTCATCGAGTCGTGACTTAATTGAACGTAACGACCGGTTATGTTCTTTCGCCGATCGAAAGCCAGGCGAAAGCGTAGCCGACAGGAACGAGGAACGTGAAAGAAGAAGAGCCTACGTCGTGTCGACGTGTAACCACCGCCGCAATTTATCCATTGCGCCAGTTTAGCTCAATCGCTCAAGGATCACTGCCTCGAGTCGCTCGTGTGACTCGCTTGCCAAATGCAAAAGTCAATCTGCTTTATTTATTACGAGCCCTCGTGTAATAATGAGTTTGTTTGCAATGCAACGACGTGTTCGTTCCTTCTTCGTCGTCGGTTTTTAACTCTTGTTCTGTGGTGAAATACTTTTGGGCAAATTAAAATTATGTTTGCAGCGAACGATTAATTGTACATAAGTAAGTACTTTGTATACAAGTGTTAAGTTTTCTACTACATTTTCCGATTATCAAGTCGTGCCACAAATCCAAGAGAAGAAGATGAGAAAGAAAGAATTCGAAAGTATAATTCACCACTGATGAATACACCTCAACTGTATCTGCGCTTACTCTTCGTTAAAAGAGCCACTCGAAAGAGCTTAAGACTCCACTAATCACACGGTTCTTTGCTAATCGCCAATAAATACCAACCACTCGGCGAGTTTTTAACGCGCTCCTATCTTTTCCCTTTTTATTCACGCCGAATATGTTGCCATCGACGCTGGTTTCTCTTTGATTTTTACTCGGAATGATTCTGTAATAACTGATTGAAGTTATTATCGGAACGATTGGAAAGTAGTGAGTATTGAGAAGAGATGGCGTTGACAAAGTAGAAGACGGAGAAACAGTTTTAACTAAAGGGTATAAAGGATCAGAGGCTTTGCGATTGTTGGATATCGTGCGAATAATTTTAATTCTTCCTCAACGTTCGTTTCTTCAATTCCTAGCGGAATTGTCTTCATCCCGAAGTTCCCGAAATTTCCTCTTTCATGCTGAAGAATTATGTACATAGGATGTAGGAATTGTTGTACTTTGTACTCATAAAGCCTGTTTATACATTGATGCAGATTCATCTACATGAGATGGGAACTACTCTGATGATGTGTGAATGCCCGTATATGCTCTGTTTCTTAAAACAACAAAAATCGAAACGCAGAACAAATTTAAAAACTAATTTAGACTTGCATTATCAAACGATTTGAATAGTTTGACCATAATTTTTTCAAGATGTGATAAATTATGAAACTTTCCATAGAAACAGATTGAAAAAAATTGAATTCTCCTCTCCTTAGGAACTCGGAAATATTTCACTCACGAATCATTACAATCCTGTTTGAATCGTGTTTCCCTCGCGAGACGATAAAACTTATCTTTAAAAGAGTAAAGTAATCGGAAGAGTCGAAACGGATTTATCTAAAGAAACGTGAAATATCTCAACTGGCAACAACAGTATTATTATTTCTCTCGTTATCGTCAGTCACGTTCTCTTCCTGCGGTAACTTTAAGATTACTCCTTTGAAAATAGAAAGCTGACGATTTTTCTATCAACGAATGATATTTAACCAACTTGACTGTAAACCAAACTAACATTACTAGCCAACCAAAAGCATTGCGTTACAATAGCTTCCTTTTAATTGTAGATTATTCTTTATTGTGTCATTCTCTCTCTCTCTCTCTCTCTCTCTATCATTTAAAACTTTTGTACAACATCGGAAAAAATGAATCAACGACGATAATTTTCGCCCAAAGGATCTTTCGAGGATTCGCACGTAAAGTACCCAAAGTACCCAAACCGAGAGTGTTCTTTCATCAAGGCTTACGAGACAACCGATCGCACGCAGGCCAACGTTTGACCTTTATTGTTCGAAACGTGTGTAACGCACACGTACATACAGTGCACGCAGGAAATTCCCGAGGTCGATATCTGACAAGCATCACCGTAAGGCCGGTGTCACGGTATCTTTCGTACCTTTGTAAATGAAAACAATGTTCCGCTGCTTTACCCGTTGCAATATTACCTGCAATTCTTGATGCGTTTCCACTGTAAACCGGCTAAAAAGAACAGAAAATTTCATCGAAGCTTGGAAATATATCTATTGCAAGATATCATTGATTTCTTTATTGAGCTATTGCTTTCGATGCACATGCACCGTTGCTTTTGTTCTTTTTTCTTCAGTTTCCTTTCCTTTTTTTTTTTTTTTTTTTTTTTTT